GAGAGAGAGAGAGGGAGAGAGAGAGCGCGAGCGAGTGCAAGCAAGCACGAGCGCACTGCCACTCCTGCCTTCGTTTCAGACACAAGCATGGTACTCACGGAGAGGTCCCTGGGCTGGGGGCCTTGGGTCTTCAGCCCTGCATCGCCTCCTACTCACGGGAAAATAGTGTTTGAAGATCATGGCAGCCTAGTCAATATTTGCCAGGTCAATTCCTGGAACGGGTTTGAAGACCACGTGCAGCAAACAGGAAGCGACCTTTTCTTCCAAGTATCTGTCCTGCCTGCCTGCCCTACAGACAAAGTGGGTTGTGATTCTGGACCCAGCTTGTCTGAGGATATCCTCATGTTGGTGATGGCAGCAGGGTGTCGGGATGCAGTGGCTGCTGATCTGTCATTGGTGTTCTGTGTGTTCCAGGTGGTGATCTGTATGAATCACCAGCACAAGAAGAATGCGGGATGTTGACTGAATCTGTTGTGGTGACCATTTCACAATATGTGTAAAATCAAACTGCTGTGTGATACACCTTGAACTCATACAGTGACGGATGTCAGTTATTTCTCAGTAAAACTGGAGAGAAAAGAATGTGAAAGGCATGGTCCTCTCTGCTTTACGGATGGGAAACTGGGGCTCAGTGAGGTCAATAACTCGCTCAATAAGTGGGTGGTGGGGCCGTATTCAGAAGACAGATCTGCCTCCCCAGCTGAAGCCTTCACTGCAACACTAAACCATTCCAGTATTTACTGAAACTTGGAATAAATAAGATCCATGTACAGAAAAAAAAAACTGGCAGGAAATTTAGAAAACAGAGCAAAATCTTCTCTCCTGCTGCATCACAACCCCATAAAGTGAGTTCATCGACTCTTGTTCACTCTTCTGTTACCCAAGATCTAGAACCAAACTGGATCTTGGATCTGGAACTAAGTGAGTATGTTTCTCATGACTGATGGAACTGGGTAACTTTCCTGTTCTTTGTAGATTTTTGTCTTCTGTTAATTTCTCACAAAGAGCATGCATTTTATTTATAATAAAAAACCAATAAAACATTGTTAAAAATAGAAGTATTTAATTGCACATAAAGCAAAATAAAAGCTTGTCTGCGTTGGCGCCGTGGTTCCAATCAAGAGGAACTTTTAAAACGTAAAGGCTTCCAGGATCCTGAATCTGATTCTCCAGTGGGGTGGGGCTGGAGGTGCCTCTGGCCTGTCTGGTGTGTGAAAGTCCCAAGGGGAGAGCTGTAGGTGCTCACAGGAGGGTCCAATCAGTGTGTGCTGGAAGTGTGAAGGCCAAGGACATTTGGACTAGGCACTGAAGGAGTTGGCTCCACCCACCAATGCTTGAAATCCTACCCTTGGGTCTAGAACAGTGCTGAGAACTTCCTGGCTATTTTATAAAGACACATTTGCAGTATGAATAAACGAGAATTGAAGTCTATGGCCAGAGTTCCTTTCTCATCTAAGGAATCCAGTTCACTTTTGGCTTGCACATAAATTACCTGGCTCTTTACAGTCATTTGTCACATGCTAGCGGAGAAGAAACGACTCTGGGGGTCTCACATTTTGAGATCTACTGCAGACTCTGTCACAATAGAGCCCATGTCACAGAGCTGTGGTGGGAACCCAATGTGGTTGTACATGGGCAGTGTCTGTGCACTGCCTGGCCCAGAGCGAGGAGGGAGAAAGAAAGAGAAGGAGAGAGAGAAAGATGTTTTAAGGAATTGGTTCACATGATTACGGAGGATCACAAATCCAAAGTCTGCATGTTAGGCCCTCAGGCTGGAGACCCAGGGGGAGTGGGTGTTGCAGTCAAGTCCGGAGGCTGCCCCAGGTAGAATTTCCTCTTGCTCAGGTGATGTCAGTCCTTGTTTTATTTAGGCCTTCAACTGATTGGATGAGGCCCACCCACATGATGAAGTACCATCCGACTTACCTGAAGTCCACCAATTTAAATGTTAATCTCCTCTCCAAACACCTTTCACCAAAACATCGAGAAGAATGTTTGACCACTGTAGCCTCCTGATTGTGTGAGCAAAGGAACGAGACTTGGGCTGGAATGGTAAACAAGTTATAAAAGGCTGCAGACTCAGAGGTGAGAAGGCTGGTTAGCCAATGACGGGTAAGATCCCCAGAGGGGGGCAGCCTAAGACAGGCACAGCCGCCTGAGTCAGAAAGAATGTTGTCAAGCACCTATTTCCCTATATGTTCCACCCTGATAAGATGTAAGGCTCACTGGCTCCACGACGAGAGTAATCTATCAAAAATATCAAAGGATCTTAAGATCCTGACCTCAAAACAATCTGTGCATCTAGGGAGTCATAAAATGACATACCATAGTTAAACATTTTCCACATTGTTCTTTTTTGCTTTACAAGCCTGTGTAGTTTAATTAACTTTTAGAGTAGCCGTCAGCTCTCTCCACATACAGTGTGTGTGTGTGCACATTGATATTGCGGTGCCAACAGACCACGTATGTGGACAGCGTGGCCCAAACAATTTACGCGTGAAATGAACCATCACATGTGTCATGTGATAGCAGGAGAGAGGGTTGAGCATCACCTCCTCGAGGGGGCTTGGCTTCTTTCTGGAGTGAAAATCTTTGATTTTGCTGCACAGACACCTCACTTGTATGTCCCAACTCAGAGTCAGAGGTCATGAACATGACCTTGAACGGGTCTCATCTCACTGTCTGCTCTGCCTTGAGACCATGCCAGCTCATTGCTGCAGTCACAAAGACGCCTACCCCGGCCTCTGGTGAAGGCACTGCGGGTTGTGGCACTGATGTCTGTGAGAAGGCCCAGCTCACCGTGAACTTGGGCAAATGGGCTTGGTTAAGTCTACAGAGTTGCCTTGGGTGCCTAGTGCTTCTCAGTCATTTCCCAGAGTCGTTTTTGTACGTGTGCCAATAATCTCCTTGTGTCACATGTCCCTGCCCACCTCCCTCCAGCACGAGGGACACCAGACCTCGTAATCCTCCAGGGTTGCCCTCTACTGATGGAATCCAGCCCTCAGCATCCTCCGGGAGCATCTTCCCCCTCTGCCTTCACCGTGGACGCACCAGCGAGCATTTCTGGGCCTTCCTTCATCTGCTTGTGCTGCTGACACCACTCCCTCCACATCTTCTAGAACAATCCACCTTACAGTTCCTCTCTCAAGTTAGCTCCTTGACTGAGCTATTCTCCATGCTGCTCTTGGGACCTCCTCCCCAGGGCTCTCCTTTCTTGGAGCTTGGGTTGTAAGTGGTGATGCAAGTGGCAAGCTCTTTTCTCGGGCGTTTGAGCATCCTTCTTAAAATGAATGGAAGTTCAAGTCCTGAAGTGATGCCTCTGGGAGTGGATGGGGTTCCTTCAGGGTCATGTCGTCCCCAGAAAAGAACACTTGTGTCATGTCCCACACCCCACCGGACTTGGACTTTTGGTGGATTTGGGGGACCCTGCCCTCTCTCATCCAGTCCAAGGCTTCTAGACCTACAGGTGACCCCCAGGCGGCTCTGGCTTCATCATGTCATCTCATGACGAGCAGCCAGCCCCTCGTGCCCCATCACTGGCCCCCAGCCTCCTTCCTGGCCTTGTACCTTCAGCACTAAGCCTGGGATCCCTACCAGAGCAGTTTTCTTTCACCCTCTGGCCTAGTCTGTTCTGGGTTCTTGCACTGAACTAGCCCACCCAGGCCAGGTTCTGCCTCTTAGGTATCACCCTTGGGTCAGCCTGATTGGCCAAAGTCTTTGCCAGCTGTGCTCATGGCCGCTGGGTCTGACTTCCCATGTCAGATGACTGGTTGCCACTAGACCTCATGATCCCGTGTGTCCAAGGCAATCACGGCCAGCCAGGTAGTAGCCACGTCCCAGCTTCTCTCCCTCTCCCTCTCTCTCTCTCTAACACACACACACACGCACACGTGCCCGTGCGCACACACACACACCACCCCATTCTGTGCATGAGTATCCTGTCTCTTTTCCCCTCCTCGGTTTTACTTCCTCTCCAGTTGCGGGCCATGATAACTCCCTCATGGAGGGTTGTTGTAAAGATGAAAAGAGACCAGGGTATGGGACAGAGAGGATGCTGTTGACATATTTGGGGGGGGCCCTCTGCTTCTCTGGGTACCACCCATTTCCCCTTGGAGCTGAGCAAACACACGGAAGTCCCCGAGGTGATTGTGGGTCCTTACCCTTCCTCTCCCCACCCTCCCTCTGTGGTGGGGCCAGTCTCCACTCAGGGCTGGCCAGGGGAGTTGGTGTGAATCCTCTTGTGCAGATGAGGGGGGTGGGCTCTGACTGCCAGCGGGGCAGGGCGCAAGACCCCTGAGACAGCCCCAGCCTGAGACAGCCCTCCCTCACCTGCTCACACTCCTCAGAACTGCTTCCCTGCGTATGACAGCCTTGTTCTATGACAGAAGAGGCGTCAGCCAAATGTCCCTGGAAAGCCCCAAACCCCCACTTCTTAACCCTCTCTGTTCTGAACAGAAGACCAGCCATGACCCGGCCCCCCTCCACTCTCAGCCACACTTCCCAGTAGCAAACTCTTTGGATGCACAGATGGTGAATTGTATTCATTTTATTCATGACCAGCTAAGTTCTCACTCAGCACAGCCTGACCCCACTTCTACTCAGTTTGGGGGTTGAAGACTTTGCCCATAAAGAGGTCTTTTTGAGTCATCTGATCCTCCAAAACCAGGAAGAAGGGTCTGTTGAATTTCACGACCACAGGGACCTCCTTCGCGTCCACGGGGACCTTCCACATGGCGGCATCCCTGGCTGCATCTGCCGTCAAGCCGTGCTCGCTCACCTCTAGCTCAGCATGATGCACAGCCTGGGAGAAAAACATGTTCCCTCTTAGCTCTGGGCGTGAACTCACCTGACTGGCCGAGAACACATGCCGGGCAGTGTGCCCGGTGATCCCCTCTGACGAGGTCAGGGAGACAGCCTCCCTCCACGGCTCATGGCAGGTGGAGGAAAGCTGACTTCCATTCCTGGAAAACCTCCCTGGGCTCAGATGTGCTATTGAAAGTCAGATGCCCCCGGGAGGGGTTGGTGATTGTTGAGTTCGGCCTCTCCCAGAGCAGGGCTGGTGACTCAAGGAGTTTGCATGTTTAAGAGGGAGGAAAAGGGAAGAAAACACAGAGGAATGCTGAGTGGGCTGAAGGCTTAGAAAAAAAAATCCCACAGAAGAGCTGAGAGAGGGTCCTTTCATACACTTTCCAGAAGGATATGATGGAAACGGCTAGGGGGCTAGTTTTTGCTGTCTCCCTCCAGGCAAGGCCAATTCTCCCTCCTTGTGGAAGGACTTGTGCTTGAACGTGCACATGGCCAGGGCATTGCTCGCGTTACTGGTGAGAAGTTCGGCATCTCTCAAACCCAGCCCGGCCTCCAGCACTCAGGGCACACTGGTCGGGTGGATTCTGTTTGA